TAATCCTTTGTGCAACCGGCAAGTCATCAGTGATTCAGCTGTGGCAGGATATTGTTTGTTGATATATTCCGGGACGTTTCACCAGAAGTGGGCTGAACTGCAGGCAGTGTTTACACAGAGCAGACATGACAAAGCAAGTCTGGCAACTAACTAATAACATCTGTGGGAACTCGGAAAAATAATGAACATGCAGATTTTAGTTTTTTTCTGTTTTTGCAAAATAAATAATCGCATAAATGTAATTTGTGTTTTTTTTATGATTTAAGGAACTTCAACATTGTTATACGACACAAAAGACAGTGTTGGGTTTTGTCGACGTCTAACCGCGGTTGTGCCGTTTCCACTGAGGTGCAGAACATCACACTGTAGTGGGAAATGACTTCATAGTGAGTAAAAATACAACAGAGGCAAAGAAAAAAATGCCTCTGAAAAGGAGTTCAGTTGGTTAATAGAAAATAAAAAATGAGCAATCTGAAGACATCCCTTTGGACTGTAGTATAATTAACTAGACTAAAAGATTCAGTAATCAATGAAACCAAAAAAGGGTAAATTGATCTGTAATAGTAATAATTTTTTTTTTCATCATCCTTTCGACTTGAGGCAATTTCAAAACAAAAGTCTGCATTAACACGTTTGAAGAGTTATCAGACAAGAAAACTGAAGTTCAGCCATGAATGTCTCTGCTGCTAATCTACAGAAAATATTAGAGAAGGCAGAAACATAACTCAAGTGGATCTAGAAGTACTATAGTATAGTACCTAGCGTTATATGCCAGACTTCTAGGATGTCCTAGATGTTAGAAAAGTCTCAAGTCGTCAGTTCAAATCCAGTAAAAATCCTTGAAGAGCTCCCTTGTTCCACGTACCGCCATCAAGAAAGACGCAGCACCTTTACTAACAGAAGAATTGTGAGATTTTGTTCTGTTTTATTCTTTTTTAACTGAGTGCTACCGCAAAACAACACGCCAGCTCAGCAAAGTTGCCTCAAATAAGTACATAAAAAGTGCTGGCTGTGACGAATGAAAGACCATATTCACCATGACATAAGCTCTTGATCAATGCTCGCCTCCTCCGGCCGCACAGTAGGAACGCTTTAATATTAATGTGTGCACTCAGAACAATGTACGCTATCAGGCCCGGATCACAATTAGCTGCCTGTAACCGCGGCCTCAGTGAAGCTGGTCATTCTAATACACCCAAGCTCAACCTACGACAAGCAGCCACGCACATGCTAACCGGTGTGGGCGTGAACATACACACAGGATGTGGGGAAAATAATGTCGTTCAGCTGCTATAAGAACTCTCAGCACACCTTCTGTTACCGTGTACGTAAAGTGACATTGCGACTGAGACGTATTTCTAATCCAACTGAGCCCTTCTGAGAAACGGGACACATGGCATTGTCGAGTTGATCAATCTGTTGAAGTGACGACATTCTGTCAACCAGGCAAAGGTCACGTTTACATTAATGTTCCTCTTTATTCAGTCGCTCCCAGCAGAGAGACAGAGAGAGCAGGCAAGACTGGACAGTACATCAAGTGATGTATAATTCATAATAATGCACAAATAGAAGGCTAAATCTGAACTAAAAGGAAGCTGATTTAACATATCATATGATCTGAGCTGCTTTCTGATGCTGCAGGTATTTAATAAACTATGAGGAAACAAACAGCTGGATGCAACAAACTAAACTTTATCTCTGTTAATGTTAAGTAGATTACTTGTATTATTTGTGCGTCTCTGTCCTCATCACAGTCAAGTTTGATTTCTATAGATGCTATATTGCAGCCAAAGTGAACAGCAAATGTGTTTTGTGATTTGAGCCGAGTCTTTTGCGGCCTCTGTGACATTTAGGGACAATTATTGGTGCTAAAATGCGAAAAGAGCCTTCCCTAATTCTCTTCACATGACTCAAAGTAACCCACTTGGGCGTCCGTTAATGCAGTATGCAGGTCAGATCGGTGCCACGTTGAAAGTGAGCAAAGGGAAACGTGACTGGGTCCTAATGAGATTGACACCACAACTGCGTGTGAAAAATGACCGGGTGTCGTATAGAAATGAATCTGACACATGTAGATGCCGTCAGATTAATGAGAGGACTCCGTGTCTATAGGGGCCGCCGAGAACATCCTCACGTCGCCCACTGAAAGACACCGAGCAAGGTCGCTACACACTTCTGCCTTAAAACGTGATCAACAGGTTTCAGATCGTATCCAAACTATGTGGGCAAATTTTAAGAGAACACTTGTACCTCTGTTTTTCTTTTTGTTTTGTTTCTGACTTGACAACCCACTGGAATCAGTAACCTAAAACGTTATCATTCTATTCACAATAAATATGCGTTCCAAACACGCGTATGCACAATATTGCAGAAATGTAATTTAAGGCAACTCTCAGTCACTTATGATTTTTTTTTTCCAATTATCACTTATTCAAATACCTCTGAACGCATGAAAGAGTAGTTTAATTAACACGCCTAATGCAGGAATTACTATTAGAATTTAATCAAATCCCTCTGATCTACTTACTCATGCGAGCCTCTGATGACAGAAGCAAAAATATGTGTCAGAGAGAACAACTAAGACGAGCGTTCAGCCTAACACGGTGTCAGTGATCATGGAGACTAACAACAGCAACAAACACAACAATTAATGAGTTTTAACAGCTGAGACCAAGCAGATTAACCACACTACGCCTGTTCTACTTGTTGTGCCGTTACCTTTATCACATAAAGTGGTTCGTTTTACTAATTTGAGCATTACTCGCCTTAACGTCTGTCTCATATTATGTTGCTGTATTCGTGATCATACAAAATGAGCAGTGGTCTGAAATTATCTGACTTTAAATACACACTTCAGCAACCCTTTGTTCTTGCCGAGTGACTATTTTGAACTCTGGTTTTGCAAACACAACAACAGAACCTTCTATTTAACTTGACCGCCGCGCAGAATTGAGATGAACTCACCTTCAGCGCAGCAGCCACAGTGTTAACCTCCTCCGTCAGCACCCGCTGACTCTCTTTGTAGGTCAGACAGGTGAACAGGTACTCCTCTGGATCGAAGGAGTCGGCGCCCTGTTGCTCCACGTCGCTGGCCACTCCTTCGTAGTAGCCCGCAATGTCACCCTGGTCCTCCTCTTCTCCTCCGTCATCCTCATCCTCCTCCTCTTCAGAGTTCACCCCGAAGTCTTCCTCGTTGCTGTCCGACGCCTGGCTGTTCATGTCCACAGACATCCAGTCAGTTAAATCAATCACCCGGACAGGTAGACGACCTGCCTACCTGTCGGATCCCAGCGGTCCAATTAGCTGAAATGGCTCGATGGAAGCTCCACCTCCACGTTTTTTTTTCTCCCCGCCTCCTTTTCACCTCCTCACTGTTCAGAGACGCCCAGGCTTCCCGGCTGTCTGAGGCGCGTAGTGAGCGCGCTCAGCAGCAGCGGAAGAAGCAGAAGAAGTCACACTCTCCGTCACTCATTTGGAAAGCTAGTTACAGGACGGTCTGAGAAGAGAATAAAGACTGGAGAGGACGGAAAGACCAGCAATGAAGGAGAAAGAAAGGGACAACAGAGGATGGGAGAAAGAGGTGAAGAAGAAACAGAAAGAAAAAGAAACATACATTAGTGAGCAATCAGTCAATTTACATGAAATTTCTAATACAAATAAATCTATTATTTGTGATTTGGCAGCAAGATTAGACCACAGGGGTCGATACAAATTAAAATTTGTCCACATTCTCCATAAATTTCATTAAGCTGATTAAACAAACTTTATTTCTTATCCAAATTCAGCATTTTCCACAGTGTAACAGCAAAGTGCATTCATTGTTTTAAGAGATATATGACTCAACAATAGCAACTATTATTTTCGTCATCAATTCATCTGTTTAAATTAAACATTATTTTATCAATTTGTTCCTTCTGATTGATTAATTTATTAGTCAGTCATTAGTACCAAGTGCAATTAGCACAAAAAGTAGTGTTGCTACAAAAGTCTTGTCACATAATAGCCAAACTTGTGAACAAAATTCTAACCAAATATTTTTTTCAAACCAACGGTCCTAATTTATCTGACTATATTTGAAATGTAATTAATTATTTTTAAGATAAAGCAGTATTTATTGACAACAGCAGCACATCTACTTACAATAAATCAGATAAAGCCATGTTAATAGATGGCAGAAAAGAATGAATGAAGCACTTGTGGCTGAATTACAGAAAACCTGACAGTCAATCGGGTATTTCATTCAGTCGTCCTCTATTCTAATGAAAGGAAATGTTCACTAGCCTATCAATATGTGGTGGAGGTAATCTCAAAATGACTATACAGTCTAAAAATGCTTTTAATAGAAAAAAAGAAGCATTCACAAACTCTGTCACATACAGAGTTAGTTCTTTACTGCACGTACTGAGCATGTGACAAATAAAAACTCTTGAATTTTGATTGTAAATTATACTTTAACTGTGAGCCCAGCCTCACAACACATTGTAAAACTGAATTCTCAACATGTACCAAAGTGCCATGACAATCTGTAAAAACTAAATTCTATGCAGTCAACTTAGAAAACACAACTACAGTTTTTCTTTTTTGGGTCACACAGTTTATTCTTAATATCTAACATTATTAGCCTTTAAAATAACATTTCGTAGTCATTAATAACGCTGAACGACCCAGAACGTAGCAGAGAATCCAATTCCACTAAAGACGTTTGGGAGCATTCTTTGGAAGATGTGATTAAAAACACTTTGACTGGAGGATAGTTCAGTGAGTTGTAATACTAGCGTGTCCCTGTGGCACACATAGCCTGTGAAATGCTTGGTTGCTGATTAAAGCTACTCAGAACAACAAAGCTGATGGTTAACAGACTTTAAAGAGTCTTTAATGACACTCAGTGATCTCTTTAATCCTTAAAAAACACATTTTGTTCTCACTCTGTCAATTTTATTTCGCAGAGTAGGTTGTGTTTCAACCAGTGATGACTCGTACTTGTGGCTAAACCGACTCGCTTCATGTAAAGTTTAATCAACCGCCCTTAAAGTCAACCGTGTCGCAGAATAGAAGCAGGGCAGCTAGAAAGTAGTAATAATATGAGGCTTATTCAAAAAGGCACAACATCCAACATAGCAGGTAGGCCTGGGAATCTAGAGCCACTTCAATTTTTCCACAAATAGTACACATGTGAGGATGAAGACAGGTTGGTTTTCAGAATCTGTGCGGAGGAAGACAAAATGCATTTCTTCTTCTGTGCACAGTTTTAGGACAGAAGGATCATGCAATAGACCACATTTTGCAACTGCAAGGTCTTACACATATTTGCACAGTATAGTCCTGCACATATGCAGCAGAGATGCACAAGCCATGAGCCGGTTGTTGCTAAACGTTCATCCACCTTCCCTACTTAACAGTTGACCTTTCATTACGGATCACTGCTCGTTCCATAAAACCAAAGTGCAATGTACCTTTAATGATGAATACCAGCTCCAGGATTTGGTCTATTTACAAGAGAGTGCGGCCTAATGACAAACTGGCTAGAAGACAAGCTAGCCATGATCTAAAGGCCACGGGATTGTGACTGGATTAAGTCCAAGGTTCCTCCCTCCCTGTATGCGCAGTTCAGCTATACCTATCCTACTCACCATCTGACATGTCCTATGCTATAAACAGCTGATGTTCTTCTCATCATCTCCTCCCTTTAGAACCACTTATCTCACTGGCTGCATCTTTTTTTTTTTTTCTGCAAATCCACCTCTGCACTTCTGCTGTATAACTGTAGATCTGTCAGACACGGGACTTGAATTAAGCTGAATGTGACAGTTCAGTAGATTAACTGAAGGTGTTTTTATCTTTAGCATGAGGGAAAACAGGCAAGCTGTGGTTAACGCGGCGGCAAACTGGGAAGTTACAAACCTACAAAAAACAGGAACAAGCGAGGCTGAGATGGAATTAAAACCAAGACGACTGCAAGCACATGATAGCAAACAGTACGACTTGATTCACGACAATATAAGGCTGACTAATACATGTGTGTGTTTGTCGACACATCACACTCAAAATCACACTCATTTCTTCTTTGAGGATTTTCTACATACTTGAGAGTTTTGGTTACATAAAGAACATAATGCTGGAGGTTCATTTCACAACTGGAAAAGGGTATTTTTTTCCATACATCAATGGATCAATAAAATTCTTCTCCAAGCAGAAATGTATTGTGGAAATAAGTTCCTTGTTAGACTGGGGTTCCCCTGGTTGATTTTGAAATACTTGAGATGGTTCAAACTGAACACAGTACAGGAGTTTAACTTCATAACTGGACAGGGGATTTTTCCATATGCACTGCCAGATTGGTTCCACTCAGTCATGCAGCAGAGCAATTAAATCTTTTTTCCAAGCACAAATGCATTGTAGAAATGAGTTCCTAGGATTGTTGGAGTGGGGTTTCCCTTCCTGACACGTACTTTTATCACTACCCATATTGTGTTCTTGTTAAGTGGAGGGCTAACTTGTGTTTCTCCTTTGCCAAAACGTGCGTGTCCCCACCGTGTCGTGTAGGTTAAAGGCTCCTCTGCCTCTAAACGGGATGTTCACTCCGGAGCTGACACGCACCGTGACACCCCACAGGCCCCGAGTGGGCTTATTTCGCAACGTGATTTGCAGTCGCCGTGGTAAACAAACACCGGATCAAAGACGTTTTCTGGCACCGGCGGTCAAATGTGACTTCGCAAGTATTCACCTGAATAGAAAACGAGGTTAGCCGGGAAAGCCTGCCAGCCAGCCGGCCGGCCCGCGGTGCCAGCCCGGCGACAGACGAATGCTCGCATTCCGGCCGATCCAGGATAAAAATAGGCAGCAAACTGGGTGACACACATCTCGCTAGGCTAATGTATTACAGCGACTCAGCACCGGTTTGGTAACAGGTCTTGGGGGGAAGGAAAGTGGGGTATTCGGTATGAGCAAACAACAAAAGCTTGGTTGTAGCCAGAACATCGGCATTTGGGTCCGACTTCGGCACAGGGGCTCAAAACGGCAGTAAATCCGCCGCTAACTCACCGTTAGCCGGATTAGCTTCCTGGCTAGCGTGCTGGTAGTTATGTTCATTAGTGAAGTAACGGCATGCCAAAGCCACGACTCTGGAGAGTTACACTTTCGGAATACACTCGTAAAAGTTTTCGAGAAAAAGTTCATTCTGTCCCCTGACATGAATTTACACCGTCAGAGCTAGCCAGGTAGCCACCCCTCCGTGTCGCTCCTTGGCCGCTGAGCCGCCGCCTCCTCGCTCACTCGAGCCCGGGGATTGAGATGTAAACAAGGCCCTCTGGAGCCCGCGAGTCAACACATACATTTAAACAACCGCTGCGTTCACATTCACGCTTTAAAGTCCGTCATGTTTACCTCTCGGAGCGAAGTCGGCTCGGCCCGCGGTGACAGCCAGGAGCGGGGTTTGTTTGAGGAAATCCAAGGGGCGATTTAGACTCGTTTGCTGGGCTGGTAGGCGGAAGATAGACGGTTACGGAGGTACTTATCAGCGACGTCACGTCCGCGCCTCTCCTGCCTGCCTCCTGTTCGGGGGAGATGCTGCAGCTTCGCCACATGCAGCACTGCTGTCCAGCCTCACTGGAGCAGGGAGGACACTCTGTTTACTTGTCATAAACACACATCTGGTTTGCATGTGTAATTTAACCTCAAAAATCAGTATTGCTCAATCGGATTCTCCAGGATGTTTGACCTTCACTGACTAATAAAGACTGCACAAAGGAATCTGCACAAAGCATGTTTATACATTTAAATATTTTTCATTGAGGAATGAGTTTCTAAGCAGAGACTTTTTTTTTTTTTTTTTTTAAATTTAAAAGTTGCACAGTGAAATGCAATCATTTCCCAGCTTGTTAGGAAACTGGGACCAGCCACACTAAGGCCCCTTTCAGACAGAGACATGGAACATTGCTGGGTCCATCAATCCATTAAAGTGACTTTCTGTTGTTCAACCCTCTTTCAGACACTGCTCACTTATCCGTGAATGTTCCTCATGGCTGCATTCATACATACCTCCACAGTGCTGGAGTCATTCACGCGAGACTTGTCAATACACCAAGCGATGTATAATGCATAATAATGCAATCACAGACTAAAACTAAACTAATAGCAGCTGATCAAAATGTCCAAATAACTAACAACCCAGTTTGTGTTCAGCTCAGGACTCAATCTGAGGACGGAGACTGCGATGTGACAGCGATGATGACTCCCCACACGGGGTTAACAACCTTCCTGAGGGCCCAACAGTGGTAGCTTGGTGGTGCTGGGACTTCAAACCACCGCCCTACTGATCAGTGGAGCTGATCTGAGCCACCACCACCCTTAATCACATGAGTTAAAGAACCATTAATGGCATAAAAAAGTGAAATTTTACATTCACTGACCAAAAATCTAAACACATCATGCCAATCATCCTCTTTCCTGACATGAAGAAAAGGTTACAATTTCTGTTTTCTATCATCCTGATTAGTAAATTAGCTGAATTGTGCAAAGGTTTTTCAGCTGCTGCACCGGTGACAGACTCCTAACCACTGATGTAATCCACATCCTCGTCAGGTTTAAAGGACAATGATCAGATAGTGTGATCAGCGTACAGACACCCCTTTGATCAGTGACTATAAAAGGCCACTTTAAAATGCAGCTTTATTCAAATGACATGATGCCACAGACGATAAGAGAAAGACGAGAGCCGGCTGCTGGTTTACTGGATGCTGGCATGTCCCTTAGGGCCTTACATGCTGCATTTATTTTCAAGTATATCTTTAAACAGGTCTGGAGGAGGGCCTTTCATATTGATTTTATGTCGCAACAAGGATTTATCTTAAGTTGATTGCAGTTTTTTTTTTGGTTTTCAATGACTAAGACAATTCCTTTTTCCCAGAATACTTCATTTCTCACAATACACACAGGTTGTTCTTTCAGTGCTGAACAACACTATATGTTTTAGACATCCATGGAATGACACACCTAAAGCCCTTTAACACACACAATAAAAGAATTGTGTAAGTCCTGCAGTAGTCTGGGCTTTTGTTGTTAAAGCTCTGCCTAATGCTGGTTCTTTGTTAATGTAACTGAATTTTAACAAACTCACCTTGGATTGGGTGATTCATGGTTCTCTTAAACCATAATGTTCGCTGTGGCTCCTTAAACTACGTAATAGATATTTAAAGTCAACATTTTCACATTAATAAGCAAATCTTGGTCTAACTTAATCAACTATATTATGTTTGATATTTACATTATTTTCTAGCATCTTCATTCCATGTTTTGTAACTGATAGCACCAAAAAACTCAGAATTCTTCCATTATACATTGAGAAATTGATATCATATGTGGACAGATGTACTTTATATTTTAGGGATTGACAGTTTACTCCTAGATGTAAACATTTGAAAGTTGCCACCAACAGGCAAATGGAGAAAACCCTGTTTTAACTTTAAGGCAGTGACGTGTTACAGCTGTAGCTGCCGCTGCTGTGTATTTTACACTCATCCCAGCCTTGTAAATAATAAATGGTAACTAAAAGAAAAAAGGAAAGTGGAACATCATTGTAACACCCAGCTGACATTAGATGCTCTTAAGCGATGAGAACATTCCTTGCCTTTAAATGATCCTCATTTTTTTTTATCTTCTACATTATTATACCATAAATCTACAGGTCTAAATTGCTGCGGTTTTCCTTGCTCATAAGAGGCACAGGTTGGAATGTAACTGCTGGTATTGCAGCTCAACAATCAGACGGAAACACTGCACTCGATGTACTTCTGCTATAAAGGCAAAGGAGTGATGGCTTAATAAACAATGCATTACCTTCAGCCGAGCTCCTCGGTGGTGCCTCAGAGGAGCAGAGGGCCGAACCCCAGGAGTAAATGTACTGATAATTGCTCTGGAACTGCTGAGGAAGAAGATAAATTAGCATCTAATGCAGCTGATGGTCAGTCAGTTGCAAATTGACACACTTTACTTTAAAATATTCTTTGTTACACAGTTTTTTCTGAATTACAACTTCAAAGAATGCAATTTCTTGAAAAGTATTTAAACCGAGTCAGAAGTAAATTGGAATTATTTAAGTAAAGAATAAAATAAAACCTGTAAAATCGGCCTGTTTTGTCAAAGAAAGCGTTGCGTTGTGACTTGCTTAATGAAAACAAACCAGTTAAAATAACATTCACCGTTAGGCAGGAGGAGGATCCATTCATACCGGCTGTTGAGGACAACTGCATGTGGTTTGTGGTCTCAGAACTTACAGTTTACTTTTTCACACATGGAGCCGTATTTTGAAATCTTACACTTAACTGCCAGCGCTACAGGTGCGACTCACATTTTGAAAAATGACATCGGCCCTGTACGCAGCCTTGAATCCTGCGAAGACCTCCTGGTTATCGCTGCGCTGGTGTCCCTGAGATCAGTCTAATCCCTACATGTTTAAACGATGAGGGAAGAGTCCAAACAAAAACAGAAGACTTTCCCTGATGAGCAGTGAAGGTTTGCGAAGGCTGAACAACTAAAACATTTTGGAAAAGGTTTCTGTATAACCACAGATTTGCCCTTTGCTTTTTGTTTGCTAGCCTCGATAAAACGTCTGATAAAGAAAACAGCATTTAGTTTGGTTGCTTCGCATTGTACTCACTTCCAAACATTTATTGCAAAAATACTTTTCTTACAAAAACTGTTACTTGAAATACAGCCGCCATCGTCTGTATACAAACGCATATAAGGACAGAAGCTGTGAAACGCTTACAAAAGTGTGAAAGAGGGTGACATACAGACAGTGAATGGGATATGTGACACAGAAAACAGCAAGAACAAGTGACCTTCCAGTGGTGTCGAGGCTGAAGAACAAAAAAAAAGAGGACTTAATATGTTTCCAAATGACAGAATAAAAACAAAAGTACAAGTTCCTGCTTTCAGACGGTCAGGTCACATGAAGAACAGTCCAGTCAGCAGCAGTGTGTACGCTTCATGTGGTCGTGTTTACGTGCCGCTTGTACTTGCAAGGTTGAGGAAATGTGGAATGTGATGAATTTAAAAAAAAATAGTGGTGCACGGTGAAGAGGCTGTGGTAGCAGCTTTAAAAGGTTTTTGTTCGTTTTCAGTCGCTACAAGTCATACGAGGGTGGATCAAAAAGTTGCGATGAGTGTGCCCATAAAAATCTAAAATTGAAATTTGGTTGTGTTTTCAGTCAAAGTAGTCTCCTGCAGTAATACTTGGAGCACTCCCCCCGGAACAAGTATCACCATATAGATAAGCCAAGCACGATCTATAGTGAATCCCTTAAACTACATCAAAATATGACCCATCAACTTGAATAACATTTTGGGGAAGAGAGAGAAGGTACAGGGGAGCCAAATATGTTGAGTAGGGCAGAAGGAGAGTCATGATTTTTTTGTTGTGGACAAAAAAATAATCATCAGGCACACAGAGCATTGATGCTACAGTTAGGGTCGCTTGCACTGAATGTTCTCCCTCAACAAGTTACAATAAAACAGTGCCTTAACAGTCCGGTAGCATAATTCCCGATGCACAACCACATTAGCATTGAACAAAATGATGAGCATGCTCCTGGTGCCCCTGACCTGACAGACCGTGTTGGAAACTGTGAGCTCCCACACTGTGAAAACTGCTGTTTCTGCTCTTGATGGCAGCTGCAGACCAACTTCTCGTCACCAGTGATGATCCTCCACATGAAGGTTGGATCATCCTGGCTTCTGACTGACAAAGAATGTGACGCTTTCTTCGCTGCTCCAGTTCACTGAGAAATCGCAATTACACCTCTACTGGTAGCCACAAAAGCACGTGTAGCAGGTTCTGATGTTGACAGCGTGGTGTCGGACTCATGGTGGTTACATGTTGCGTTCACTTATTGATGAACCCTCGTATTCGCCTGTATTGTTTGTAGTGTTGTTGGCACAGTCAGTCAAGTGCTTTTCAGAGTGTTATCAGCAATAGTTTTTCAAAACCTGCATCAAAAACAGTGTAATTTGATCTCTCCCCTCACACTTTCTCAAAAGGGAATAAATGCTGCTGTTGACCCCTCTTCTCTCGTTTTGTCGTCTTCTTTTTCAGTCCGCTGCCGCTGCTGCCGTCTTCTTCTGCTTGTCTGTTTTGCGGCCAGGACATTGCCAGAGTCTCAGACGCCGTCTTAGCTCCGCTGCCTCCATCCTCAACTGGCTCTTCATCGGAGGAAAACCCGCCGGCGTCATCTCCGTGAGCGAGGCCACTCTGGTTCTTCTTGCTGTAACGCTGTTTGAGCCGTTCTCTGATCAGGAGTCCCTTCACCAGCAGAGTCCAGTTGGCGATCACCCGCTTTTCTTTTTTCTGGAAAGTGAACGGGAAAAAAAAGCTTATGTGACATTGCGATACTGAACAGTTTAGGTTTAACTTGAGCTGTCACTGCAAAATCCGTCACGCATGGCCGGAGAGAGTTATTGCTCTCTGATTAATAATTCTCCAATAAGCTGAAAATATTAACATAAAAAAGAGAATCACACACACCTCTTTCTCCTTCTGTTTCTGAAGCTCTTGTTCCTCCACCCAGGCAGCTCTGAGAATCTCCTCATGCTCCTCACACACTATGTAACCGTCAGTCCTGAAACACACACAGAAAACTAAACTTTCTACGATCTTTGTTTTTGTGACAACGCAATACATTCTCTTTCATTCCTCATGTCCGTTGAGTAGATTTAACAACGTGCAGCTTTTGATGTGTTTGGCCGATTAGTTTAAATATTCCAGTTGCACCTGGAAAATTCTTACAAAGGAGAAGTTTTACACTAAACCAAGTAATGACATGAAAACTTGCTCACTGAAACCGACACAGCTAAACTTGGAAAGCAACACATTAGGCCTCGATATCAGAGCCGACAGAGCAATAAAAGCCACACTGCCAGTCAATAAAACTAGATACAGATTAGACTTTGGAGGCAGACACTGATTAAAGTATATGAGGGTAAGACATGTTCGAGATAAGACGACTAATGTCTTCTTAGGATATTTAAGAACAAACAATATTTGTCTTTAAAGTGGTTAGAATCCCCAGTAATGAATAAAAATTAATCCGAGGCAACAAGTGCAATGAATACAGGCGTCTACTGTGTCTTGTTGCACCAAACAGGCACATTTTGGAGCAAAGCCTCTTATGTCTCCACTTCTGCATTTTACAAACTGACTACAAGAGCTGATCAGAAAGTTCATGGACTGTGCACAGAGCAAGCAGTAACTGTCATAAGTCAGAATGTCACGCAACACACTGCGGCACCGGTCAAACACCCTGTATGTCTAGCGAATGAATCTCCCAAACTGTTTCCAAATGGCAATGCTTCAACTTGAATTGTATTTTGGGGAAGAGGAACAAGTCACAGGGAGTCAGATCTGGTGACAATTGTGTTGTTAAAGCCAAAAAAAACTGTCACCTCACAGTTCAGATTTCTTGAGTGTTCTTCTTTTAGACACTGAAAACTGCTGTTTCTGTACTTGGTGGTCGCTGCAGACCCTCCTGTCACCACCAGCGATGATCCTCCACATGAAGGTTGGATCATGCTGCTGCTGACTGACACACAATGTGACGTTTTCTTTACTGCCTCTGTTTGATGCAAATGTGCATCTACTTGTGGCCACACAAACATGTACAGGTCCTACTGTTGGTAGCACGGTGCCACCCGACATCCTGACTCATAATAGTTACTGCTTCCACATGTTGCAAACACACCACAAACAGCATCAGAACTTTTTGATCAACCCTCCAACGACTGACCTGAAGCCTCATGATCATATTCTAACCAGGTCCTGAATATTCCTAAATATGAGCACAGCTGTAAAACCTGAGACCAGAATGAGACACGTTCATCTACTCCACTGTGTTTAGATTCGTCAGTGCCGTCTTACACAGCGTGGGAGTATCCTCCATGGAAGTCGAAGCCTGTGACTGCAGGAGCGGCGTCGAGGTTCAGCTTTCTGGCCACACGGTGCAGGTTGGACAGCCTGACATGAACACAGCCGACCGGTAACATGCAGGGTTTGAACAGGTAGACGTTACCGTAGTCGTTACGAGGAACCTGAAGAGAACAGACAAAGCCAACAGGTGAAGAGGAGCACTGTGAGAAGCTGAATCAGTTAAGTAGTTGAGAATAAACAAGCTCTGATAGTGGATGGGCGTTCCCTTTTGAAACCACAGACAAAACTATCTACTTTCACAAATGTGACATTCTGCCTTTAATGTCGCTGTGAATTGAACCCCATTTGAGTTCAGTCTCTTAGATGGAAAAATAAGCAACATGAAGACTTTCATAACTTTCATGGTTCCCTTGGTCTGGTTTGCATCTGGTTTCATTTATGGGTAGAGTCTGACCAACACTGGATTTCTGGGATGCTGATACCAACTTTTACACTAAAACATTTGAATATTGATATATCTCAGCCACAATTCTTCCATCCATCCATTATCTATACACCGCTTAATCCTCACTAGGGTCATGGGGGGCTGGAGTCTATCCCAGCTGACTCAGGGTGAAGGCAGGGGACACCTGGACAGGTCACCAGTCTATCACAGGGCTACACTTAGAGACAGACAACCAAGCACACTCACATTCACACCTACGGACAATTTAGAATCACCAATTAACCTCAACATGTTTTTGGACCTTGTGGGAGGAAGCTTGAGAACCCGGAGAGAACCCACGCTGCACGGGGAGAACATACAAAGTCCATGCAGGTGTCCTCACCAGGATGCGAACCAGTGACCTTCTTGCTGCGAGACAACGGTGCTAACCACCGAGCCACCTTGCAGCCCACCAGAATTCTTGATATAAACATATGTAGGTCTGAGTAATACTGACAAGGGGATTTTTATTTTAGCAAACTAATGCTGCAGTTTGTCTTTTGCATCTTCACATTCTCAACAATACTGATGCTTTTTAGTCTTACCTTCCCATCCACAGCTATGGGAGGCTGGTACTCTTCAGTTTGCCATTCTCCAAACAGAGGCAGGTCCTTCTCTTCCTTCAGCTCAGCCATCATTCTGGCCTTACGGGAGCGATTAGAGAAGCCCCTCACCATCTGACAGAGAGAAACACAATGACATGACTACACATGCAGCACACCCAAACAGTCACAAAACACATTTGGTGGTTGCAAGTGTTTTTGTTTTGTTTTCTTCTCCTTGGCTTGCTGGCTGAAATGATAAAATGCAGACTCACTGGAATAGGGTTCTTGTTGCCAGTCACCTTGCCAATGTCTTTACTTCATTGATCCAATTAAGACTCGCTGATTTTAATTTAATAGCATCACAGCTACTGAAGTACTCGATTGATCTGCACTCAGCAAACTGCCACAATAAAAACAAATAATAACACTTTGTGCGAGTTCAGCTGGAAATTAGTTACCAGCTGGCATCAACACACAAATACATCTGTAATTCTTAAAGACACTGACAAGAACGTAGTCGTCAACTGAGTATTTTAAATGTTAAAAATGTGTAAAATCATGTTTTCTATCTCAGGAAAAAATGTGTCCAAAAATACCGACGCTGGTTTGGAAATTCTAGTGAGGATTAAGCGATGTATAGATAATGGATGGATGGATGGATGGATGGATGGTTTGGAAATTCAGAGTCTGGTGAGAAGATATAGTAAAAAATGCATGCTGTGATTTCAAATAACCAATAAAATGTCTGTAGCTACACTACAAGAACGTTTCTTTGTGCAAATAAATAATTTATCAACAATATTTTATGTTCATTCTGTTTTTAAATCATCATATCACAAAGAACTTTCCATTGACGAGTGGTGGTTCATTTGTTATAACTTTACTGCTGAAATCAACATTACAGTTTTTCTCGGTCGCTTTGGTACGTTTCTCAGATCAGAATTGAAATTCTCAAAACTACTTTTTCAACCTTCACATCCTTGTGTCACTTGTGCACATCAAAAAAGCAGTTTCTCATTTCTTTGAACAAGTTCTAAATGCTTTGGTACATCCATGCTAATGATTCTCTGCTGTTTCCTGCATTATCAACTGCTTCTGTCATGTTACTCAAAATGTACTATAATGGGTCTCTGTTGAATAGTCTCACCCCCACAACATCTAGTCATTTATTAACATTAAGTCTTTACATGCAAAATGGTTGAACAAGTTGTCAGAATATGTCGAGCATGTTTTTATACATTTCCATTAGACTTTTTTCTAAATCTGTCCTGAACTGGTAAGTTGCTCCCAGGTGAATCCTGACTTTCTCTAATGAAGGGAAATGTGTGTAGCATCACATAGATCAACCAATGATCAAGCAGTTCTGTGAAATAGCTCAAAGGTGCATCTTATGAACCATCAACTGGCAAGTATAGAAGAAGACTGCACTGTAACTCCTACAGCACTGCATGTATAGTTTTCCCCAAGGAGCTTGTCCTATGTTCTCATTTCTACTTTTGTTTTGTTGTTTTTTCTTTGTGCTGTGCAGTGCTGTCTTTTCCTGTCTGTATCACAATGACATGATCTGTCAGCAAATTACAGTACAAACAGTAAATGTGAATCTTGTCCAGTCTCTTGCAATCAATCTCCCTTATACACTAATGTGTAACTCACAATTTACAATAATTATCATCAAAACTTTAGCCATAGATTACATCAGAATATCCCTCCAGAGTACACTGTTATACTGACAACATGACTAAGCAATGTGACTGTCTTATCCATACACAGTGACACCAGGACTTGCCGTTCTGATGCCACTGACATGTTCACTGACACAGATATTTAGTTTTGAGAGATGAAGTAAGGATTTTGAGCAAGTAACTGCCTTTTGCAGGTAATCCCTGGTGTTTTGCTTTTTGTCCGATTTGTTTTGAGAAACACTGTTTTGTAAATGTTGAGGATGATTCGAGAAATGTACCAAAGCGACTGAGAAAAACTGTAGTGGAGTGGCTGATATTTTTGTATTTTGAGGTTAACACTTCCTCTAATTGCTCCTCTTTCTTGGAAACATTGGTCATGCACATGAAGACTGATCAACTGATCTGGCCAGAGGCTTTAGTCGGATGAAATCAAACAGAAAAACAAATAATAGAGACCCAGAAAAACACAGGAACAAACTACGAGAAGAGAAAGACGGTTTGAAGGGGAGCAAGCACAAAAGAACAAAAATTAAAAACACATCCTCTCACTTTGTACGGCTCTTCTCCCAGTCGGACAGTCCGTGCTTCTTTCAGCCACGTGTCTCTGGAGTGGAGGGTGTGCACACAGTCCCTACATGTGAAGAAGACGTGAACATGGTGAGAATAATGATAGCTGGTCTGTTCCTGAAAATCCCATTTAACGTGCTCGTTTATTCAGTCGAATGCAGAATCAAAGACTTTTTCTTGTATTTATCTTCAGCGTTTTATTATTTTCAGCAGCTTCCAGAGCAAAACTACTAAAAACACAAGCTTCAAGCATATGACAGCACCCCCAAGTGGACACTGATGCTCATGACCACAGTTCAGTCCTGCAGGCCGATGTTGCTTTCAAATGCAAACAAGGACATTCCTGTTTTCATGAAGTTTTTCTTAATACGTTCTGTTTCACACAGTAAACAATTTCTCCTGGCCACACATTTGCAAATAATTTGTAAATAAAGTGCTGTCATTTGATTGTTTTTCCAAATAGAGTGGCTCGGCCCAACACTTATTTACAACAACTGACTGATGTTTAAAGGATATTTAGATTCTGAAGGCTGCTGAGGTATTCAAACTTCCAAATCCAGCCCCTAAACTGGGTTGACCTCTGCAGAAATCAAAGGCTTACAACTTTCCTGATCACAGTCTAAATCGCATAAATCAGCATTTGCGATGAAAAACAAACTAGGTTAAGAAATGAGACTGTATGAAAGCACTGAAAATGTGTCACCACTGACCGTGAGTATACGGGCTCTCCTCTGCAGTATCCCAGTATGGTGGCTGTGGGAGGATAGACGGCTTCGTACTTGAGCAGGTGTCTCTTCAAGGCGTACAGCGGGTGGTTCTTATACTCGCCTATAGAGATCGGCAGGGGTTTGTTCAGAAGCTTATTCTGGAGCTGGGTGGGCGAAATGGGGGGAAAACAGTGAGTTCAAGCTCTAGAAGTAGGACAGAAAATCATTTCTTCTCATTCTTTGGATTAAGACTACGGTAGGATACTTCAGAAGGCGTCTTTGTCCACTGTTGCTGATGTGACTCTATTCCAAATTTATACAGCTTAACTTGGAAGGTAGGATTAAATGGTAAAAAAGACGTAGACAGTAAAATCACAGATACAATGACAGTAGATCTCTCCCTGTTCATACTTAAGACACAATATCGATTTTGTAAAGTGAGCATTAAACAGACCCAGACAAAAGAAAATTATCAGTTGGAGGTAGTGTTGCATGGTATGTTGGTACTAGAGAAGTATTTCAATACCGTACAATTAAAATTAATTGTTCAATAATTAATTAATTATCGTTACTTAAAGGATACATTTTTTTAAAACTTAGATAACCTTTATTGATCCACAAGGGAAATTGTTTTATGACAGTAGGACAAAATAAATATATAACAAAAAATTTAATAAAAATAAGAAGTAAAAAAGCAAAAAAAAAGAATACAATGCAAAGATTTCCATATGTGCAATTTATAATTTTAGTTTTTTGTTGTTGTTGTTTCTTTGTTTTTTGCCAAGTAAAGAAAGATAACAAAAGAAATGAGTAATAATAATAATAAAATATAGTAAAATAAAATTAAAAAAGATAAAAGATAAAAAGAAATACTAATTTAACACACAAAAATATGAATGGGGGAGTTATCTGATGCAGAGCAGTGAACTGTTGTACAAATGAATGGAGGCAATAGAATAGAATAACAAAAGCAGTATTTTCTGCTTGTTACTTCTATCATCAGCCTTCATGGTAAACTAATTAAGTCCACAGACACCATATGCCTGTCGGTACTGAGACTGTGATTGCCAACGCAAAGCATTTCGCCTGCAGACTTGTCGATTTGTTCAAAGAATTGAAAGAGTGAAACAACAAATGCAACAGATAATTACTTTGTGAACTCAAATATAAATCAAACGAGTGTGATTTTTTCTGTGACAAGCCAGTTCAGGGCATTGATACCAGTTAAATTTGGTTTCATCTTTTTTTAGCTAACTTACAGATGTGGTAAACGCTTCTTAATGCAAAGCAGCATTCACACCAGCAATGTTAACATTAACTTGCAAGAAACTAAAAATCATCAAATTATGTCGATCAGCAACACCACCTCTAAATGACCAACTTAAATCCTGCAGAAAGAATGAAAGCAGGTGATTATAAAGTGTAATAAAATGCTGCTGCCACTGACCTCTGCAAGGATTTAACCTTCGATAAGCCTCAGTGTGACATTTTCTATTACTTTTTCTGATATTTTAAGGTTTTGCTGTTCAGGACTGATGGATTGAGGCAGCTAATCAAAGTCATAATTTTGGTATCATGGCAACGCTAGTTAGAGGTTATGTGTATGTGTAATAGGTCCATCCTGGATGCTGGACTCACCTCCTTCTCCTCTTTCACGTCCCTCTCATCCTCGGGTCCTAAGAACGGCTCCAGCGTTTCCTCCCACCACTCGTCATCGATCCGCCTCTTCCTGGACGACGTCATCCAGGTGGGGTCGTACTTCCTCCCCAGGTCCTTGACGAAGCCGTCTCCGTCCACCGACACCACGTACGTCACCGGAGCTGTTGCGTTCTGGGAGCACAGGTGCGGCATCCCAACGCCCTTCTCCACGTGGACGCAAACCCAGGAAGAGGTTTTCTCCAGATACACCTCCAACCACTCGTCCACTCCGGGCCCTTCCTTCTTTTTCCTTCCCTTTGTTCCGTTGCTCACTATTCCTTCTTCTTCTTCATCATCATCTTCCTCCTCGTCTTTCACCTGTTTTTTTCCTCCCCCACTCTTTCTCTTTGGAGCTACAGTATCTTTGCTCTTGCTCCTTTTAGCTTCACTCTTCCTTTTTGCCTTCTTCCCCTTTGTAGATTTAGCTTCGCCCTCTGAATCCTCACTGTCGTCCTCACTGGTCTCCTGGAATTCTTCATCGCTAAGCCTCTCTGCTTCATCATCATCATCTCCGTCACTGTTGCTCTCCTCCTTGTAGCTGACCTTAGACGCGACACTGCGGCGCTTTGAGTTCTTTGGTCTCTGCCCTCCTGATGATACAGACTTCTCCTCTTCCTCCTCCTTCTTTGTTTCTTTCCTCTTTGCTTTCTTTCCTCCTTTGGTCTTCCCCCCTTCAGCTGGCCTCTTGGTGCCAGGAGAGACCTTTGGAGAGTCGGTCTTTGGCGTTTCCTGGCTTGTGCGGCTCTTTTTTGGGGGAGATGTTCCGGCTGCTTTGCCCTGAAGGAACATGGGAGATATTCAAAATAATTACATTTGTAAGAACAAAAGATTTAATCTTATGAAGTCTAAATCCCGCCAGCACACTTGAAAGGCATGTTGTCTTTACATATGGTTAAAATTACAGGATTTATCAGCCATAAAAACAGAGAGATATAATATTATAATAAAAGTGGGGTTTCAACTTTTAAACAAAATAAATCCAATCCAAGTTTAAAATCAGGATGTTTCATTAAAATCACTTTATCCTACATGGCTCGTTTAAAAATAAATAACAGTTTCTCTACTCATCCATCATCTATACACCTTAATCCTCTCTAGGGTCATGGGGGGCTGGAGTCTATCCCAGCTGACTCAGGGTGAAGGCAGGTTCACCTGGACAGGTCACCAGTCTATCACAGGGCTACACTTAGAGACAGACAACCAAGCACACTCACATTCACACCTACGGACAATTTAGAATCACCAATTAACCTCAATATGTTTTTGGACTGTGTGGGAGGAAGCTGGAGAACCCGGAGAGAACCCACGCTGCACGGGGAGAACATGGAGACTCCATGTAGAAAGATCCCGGGTGTCCTCACCGGGACGCGAACCGGCGACCTTCTTACTGCGAGGTAATGGTGCTAACCACAGAGCCACCTTGCAGCCCTGCTCTAATCATATTCCCAAAAAAACAAAGAAAACCTAATCTCCTCAGTGTTACCAAGATGAAATTAGTGACTCATCTGGGATCAACAGTAGTAGTGACTGAACTGCAGGCTGTGGTCCCCAGTATTGGTCACACCTGTGGGCACTTGAGTTGCTGAGTTTTTTTTTAACTTTAGTAAATTAAATAATCCAAGAAAGTTTGTTTTATGGTTCCACACCTTTATAGTTCACAAAAGAAACCAAATGCTGCATAGTTTCCATATTATAAAAAGCAGAAATACTGTATGCAGAGGCACAAGCATGAAAATGTAATAGTATAACAGAAATGGTGCTTCTGTCCTTTCACTGCAAAGTTTTGCTAATTTGATTTAAGAACCCAGGCTGTAGTTCTGCAGTTTCCATCAGATGCACACATGGAAAGACTGTGGAACAGAGCTCAGGCCTTAAAAATGACCTCTTTTTTTATTAATTAAACTGAAATATAAGACAAATCAAGTCAGCTCTAACTTAATGAACAGCACGACTCTGAATCATTTTCATTCTGATATCTGCGATTCATCATACAAAGCCTACCCAGATACATTCTTCCTCAAATGTAAAATGACAATCTAAGTATCTTTATCTGGTTTTTGTTTTTTTTTTTTTGCACAAACATCTACACTATCATTTTGAATAAAACCACTTTAGGAATTCCACTTATGCTCTCACCTTAATTGGTCATTTCAGGTTAAGCGGATTAACGAGGTTCAGCCTCCTGTCACACTGCTGAACACACCTGTGCACGACAGCTGCAGCTTCCACGTGTGTGTGTTTGTTTACTGTGGAAGCTCTGCTGCTGCTGCTGCCAGCCCTATTACTCTACATCCAGCTTTCCTTTGATAATAGCCATTAGACTATAATGTTTGAATTCATTTCATTGTAAATGTAATGTATGATTAGTTTAGTTTATCCTCGTTCAGAGCAAGAGAGAGAGACAGAACCAGGAAAACATCGGCCTCCACCTACTGTTCTGATAACGTACTCACATAACAACAGCCTGTGTAGGATTTCTGATGTGACTGTATGAACGCATGTAGCTTCTGGTTTCTCCATTAATAACATGCAACTGCTAAAACAAGTGAGAGGTGTCATTTATGTGATTATTACGACAGTTAAGTGACAATCAACAGTCTGTTTCACAGCCCTTTGTTGAGCATCGTGCACCATAAAAACCAGTACTGGAGCCAGAAACTGTAAAAATGAAAATTATTATCAGGTTCTAAACTTTCCAACAGTCCTTGAACTAATCATGTGTTACATCTGGTTATGTTGGAAAAATTGACCAGATATAAGCTTAAAATTGTGACAATCCCTTTATTCCAAGCCTTATTTAAAGCCAACAGTTTGTTCTGTAAAAAAATTAAAAGTTCTCCAGTCCTTGGGGTAACTGGCAAGTCCGACAGACTCAGCTGAGTCACACTTTTAAAAATCTCAGTAGTAAAATATCAGAGCCACAGTTTTTTATCCATTATTACCAACAACTGTAGGCATTTGCAAAAATGGTAAACATGTTGAATCCATTTTTTTTCAATTTCTGTATAATTAATATTCAAAGAAATGTAACTTTTTTTTCCCTTTTGTATGATTTATGGCAGTAAAACTTTGCTATACTACAGAAAGGATATTTCTGAGTTCTATCACCAGGGTTGTGCTGTTTCCACGGAGTTGCAGGACTTTATTTTGCAGTAAAAGTAAGTTAAGTTCAGACAGTTAATTAGGTAATCTGAGGGTTTTCTTGCAGCTTTTAGCTTTCTGCCACCATACTTGACATTGATTTTTAATTTGTTACGCGTCTGTAGTTCTCTTTAAAATTAAAATGCGGCCATGAACATCGTATGGCTGCTGTAATTATGTCAGTAACATCTACAGGGATCAACAACAAAGAGTCAGTACCTTGGCTGATGGAGGTTTGAGAGGAATCGGCTGCAAAGACAGAACCAGTCGGCAGAAGAGCTGCAGAGACCTCAGGATCAACAGGAAGAGCTGAAAGAAACACAAAACACACAGGGACATAAGTATTTAATATTCTGTTGGATGTACAGCAAGAGATTGTTTTGTATTTAGTAAAGTAAACCAGTCTTGGGCCAAAATACCAACATGAGTCAGCTCCTGGTGGTTTCTGGCTGAGAGGCTGGCCAGGCGTCTCTCCAGGAGAGCCCGGGGGTCCGGACGCTCCTCATAGGGAAGGCTGGGGTTCAGGGTGAAAGTCTGTCGGAACCTGAAAGGAAAGACAGAGATTAATATGTAAAAGAAAAAAAAGATAGAGCGCTGATTACACCAAGTCACAGAACGATTAAGTGACTGAACCAGTGAAGCTTCTTCCTGGTTCTAACAGACAACATCACATCAGTCCCAGCTTCCCTCTGTTGGCTCCCTGTTTGTTTTAGAACAGATTTTCAGATTTTATGTCATGTATTTGTTGATTTTATAAGCTTGTCATGGTCAGGCCCCAAGCTGTAAATCAGAAACGCTAAACCCAAATGAGCCTGTTCACAGCCTGAGATGTGGCGTTGTTTATATTTGTCTATTTTATTCTCTTTCACCCCTTTTTACTTATTTATTTACTTTTTTATTCACTGCATTTTTTACTATTATTATTAGTATTTTTCACAGAATTGTACTATACATGTATTCTATTTTATTATTATTAAAATGTATTATCATATTTCTTTATTTAGTATTTTATTTTTTATAGATTTTTTTATAGATCTTATAAAGTTTGAAAAGATTTTTATTTTTAATTTTATTTCGTATTTATCAAAGAATTTCCACTTGCATTTTTAATGGCTTTACTCTCTATTTCTTTTATTCCACTTGCTGTTTTTCTTTAATTTAACGTTAAATATTTTGCTTTTATTATTTTATTTGTATTTCCATTGGTGTCTTGTGTTTCAGTTTATTTTGTAAATCTTTAATGATGTTTCACTTTCATTCTCCACTTTTGCTTCCCTGCTGTAACTTTGTCTTCCTGAATATCTTTTTTTTTTTGTCAATCTGTAAAGCACTTTGTAAATTCAGTTTGAGGCCACTGGTATCTGGATGGTTGTTANAAATTATCAGTTGGAGGTAGTGTTGCATGGTATGTTGGTACTAGAGAAGTATTTCAATGCTGTACAATTAAAATTAATTGTTCAATAATTAATTAATTATCGTTACTTAAAGGATACATTTTTTTAAAACTTAGATAACCTTTATTGATCCACAAGGGAAATTGTTTTATGACAGTAGGACAAAATAAATATATAACAAAAAATTTAATAAAAATAAGAAGTAAAAAAGCAAAAAAAAAGAATACAATGCAAAGATTTCCATATGTGCAATTTATAATTTTAGTTTTTTGTTGTTGTTGTTTCTTTGTTTTTTGCCAAGTAAAGAAAGATAACAAAAGAAATGAGTAATAATAATAATAAAATATAGTAAAATAAAATTAAAAAAGATAAAAGATAAAAAGAAATACTAATTTAACACACAAAAATATGAATGGGGGAGTTATCTGATGCAGAGCAGTGAACTGTTGTACAAATGAATGGAGGCAATAGAATAGAATAACAAAAGCAGTATTTTCTGCTTGTTACTTCTATCATCAGCCTTCATGGTAAACTAATTAAGTCCACAGACACCATATGCCTGTCGGTACTGAGACTGTGATTGCCAACGCAAAGCATTTCGCCTGCAGACTTGTCGATTTGTTCAAAGAATTGAAAGAGTGAAACAACAAATGCAACAGATAATTACTTTGTGAACTCAAATATAAATCAAACGAGTGTGATTTTTTCTGTGACAAGCCAGTTCAGGGCATTGATACCAGTTAAATTTGGTTTCATCTTTTTTTAGCTAACTTACAGATGTGGTAAACGCTTCTTAATGCAAAGCAGCATTCACACCAGCAATGTTAACATTAACTTGCAAGAAACTAAAAATCATCAAATTATGTCGATCAGCAACACCACCTCTAAATGACCAACTTAAATCCTGCAGAAAGAATGAAAGCAGGTGATTATAAAGTGTAATAAAATGCTGCTGCCACTGACCTCTGCAAGGATTTAACCTTCGATAAGCCTCAGTGTGACATTTTCTATTA